CTACGTGAACCTGAGTATTAGTAAACCGATCTATTTTGTACATGAGTCAAGACGGCTCAACCACACTTTAAATACCCCATAATTTATTTCTCGTCAACGCAGTATTGCCTTTCCAGTCAGGGATGACCTGATTTGGACCGTCTCTGCTGCAACAGGTTCATGAAATATGGCATTCGACGTTCCTGTTGACCAGCCCACGTTGAAGACAAGTTGTGAAGGAATATATCACTCAAAATTCTACCCACCCTGCCCGCAAAACCATAGACAGCAACTTCCTACCCCATTCTGCCACCACCAAAGAGTCATAACAGTGAATGGAGACCTCGATCCCAAAATCACCTGACCCACAAATCTCGCAACATCTTTATATACTCAAGTAAGAAGGTTCTGAGCGTCAAACACCAGCTCAGAATTAGCCAATGTAGTTGAGTACTGGCGTGACCGCAACACATCCGCGATAAGCATGTTAACTTAAAAAATCCCTGCCCCTATCCGTGGGATTTTCTATAGGCCTAGCACTTCTCCTTGAAATAACAGGATTGAAGGTACGGCCTTGAGTTTTGCCGTTTTGTTTTTTGGTATGGTTTTTTGGACTCTTTATCGTTTTTGAAGCAAGGCTTAGATGATAGTGTTGGAAGTTGTGGGGGGCTGGTACTGTAAGCGAGGGGCCCAAGGGGGGTGAATTATGGATATCGGGCAATGTGACTTGCTGCATAGAGTCCTCACAATTGTGTGTAAAAGATGTTCTGAAGCCTTGCAAAGGATAGTAGATAATGGATTTACGGTCGGTGTTTAGTAGGGCATACTTATCCGACTTTGTAATCCCTATCATACCCACCCAGAGAAGGATATCAATCCAAAACTTTCTTCTAAAAAAATCACAGTTATTTCGTTTTATTACCGAAATTGTGTCTATTTAGTAACAATAGAAATTGTGGGTACTTAAATCGTCTTGGGGTATAAGGTTGGGAAAGATATCTCAGCATAGCAAAGATGCGTTCCGCGAGAAGATTCTTTTTACCAACCATTATATGTACCTCAAACACTGAACACAGAAGGAGGACTTCCAATGCCGTTGCAAAACTGCAAAGTGCGAAAGGAATTGAAGTAACGATAACGAACCTGGAACTAATAACCGGAACCCCTGGCGCTCCTCATTTCCCACGAGACTATACATGCATGATATTCGTCGCGTGATTCTGTGAAGCCACAATTGAGGCTGAGGAAAATCAAGTTCTGTTTATCCGGACGTTTTATATAGTAGTCATGTTTTACTGTTATCCTTTTCATTTACTGTCGAAACTCATTTCACGTTCGCTTGTAAAGTGAGGAGATAGAGAACCGCCAAGAGGTGGATGGCTAAGTCTTACTGAGCCTCTTCCAGAAGTCTTGGTGTTCTACTAGAACGGCAGATGGCAGAAGGCGTTAAATCTTGATTGATCTTCTCCGTGCCATCTCCGCTCTGCTTCATTCGGACATAGTAATGCGTTAGGGAGGCATCTGGGATGAAATTGAAATAGCCCTACTAGGGGCGTTTTAGATTACAATTGAGAGCTGATTGTTTTTGGGAAGGTTATATATGAAAGATTAGAGGTCAAGTGTCGCACAGCTATAGGGATAACTTTATATATTACAATGTTCCGAAGATCATATGTTCACTTCCATTATAATTTCACTGGTACAAAAGAACTGAAACAAGTTCGTTGTTTTATCAAAGAAATAAGTATGAATAGAGTCACGAAGTTTGTAAACCAAGGACCAAAGGCAAACCCGACGTATTCCGGCGAGTATAGATTATTCCTAGCTCGCTTTTTAGGAACAGTACGGCAGCTAGGCAACGAGAGACGGCGCTTTTGTAAAAGCAGTAATGTTCTTACATTCGACATGGAACTTAGAAAATTGAAGTGAATTGTTATGGGCTCACTAAATAGTTGGTGTTGTCAAGCACCTATTTATAGTTAAACCCTATCATGAAATTAAACATGAAATATATTAGATGTCCCACAAGTCACGAACAAGAATCACTCTATCGCCAAAGCGTTATGTCCCAAAATCTACTCAGACCCTACGGCCACCTACCCCTCTCCACAGGCCCTCTCAGCCACCCCTCAAAGTTCGAGTCCAAATATTTGATAAGGAGATTTCCTGTCCCCACATAATCGAGGTCGAATATAGACCGATAATCAGAAACAATGAGAACATGCTCGACACGAACTTCTATGAGAACCACACAACTCGCTGAGTCTGTCCGAACTCCCGCAAAAGTCAGGGCACAGCTTTTAAGATAACTGCTTGAAAATGAGAGTGAGTTCCTATCAAGTCTGATCTAATTCTCGGGGCAACTTTTATTGTCGAAATCCCTTTTGCAGTCGAAAAGACCCCAAAGTTCAAATTGTGCCAGCTGATTTCTGCGACAGTTTGGGTTAGCCTTATGGACTGGATGAGTAGAGTGGTACGTATGAACCAGAGTAGCATAATATTTTGTACAGTTCATTAATTACTTGTTAGGTACCAGAAACGCACATTTGCGATGAATGTAGGATTATAGAGATAACGTCTACTTACGACTTTGTAATTTGCTTGATATACTAATAGGACTTGTGTCCCGGTATCTGGTTAGTGGTATGGCTAAGTTGTTCCGAGCTCTTGGTGATATTTCAGTATACTGGGCTCCTTTAATTTTGTGCTGAAAGTAATCTTTAGTTTCGTTGAGTTCTGCAAATATACTGAACCAGTCGCCAGCGATACTGAAGTGCTTGTGGTATTACCATCTTTAAAGTATTACTTAATGTAGATTTTAATACTCCTTCGAAATTGAATAATTATTACAGTAGTCAACAGGGCTTCACTATATTCAATTGTGTAGCAATTAAGTTCAATATACTTGAAACCACTTCCAGTTAACGGTAGTGAATGCAAGGGACTTCGGACTACACTTCTAATGTCTACTCCATACTGATCTCCCTCAGAGAAAGCACATTATAACTTGAATTCCCCATTCATGGCCATTATCCCATCCTACAAATGAACCCAGCTTAGTATACACATAAACCTCCCCACAAAGTAACCCTTCCCAGCAGTATAAATACGAACTATTCCTGCTAATGATTTATATACAGCCAATTAAAAACTGCTCTTAACCATTCCTCAACTCTTAACCCATATCCTATGGTGGAAATCCATAATCACTAGCAAATAAATTAAAGTTACCACTATTCATTAAGAGCAACCTAGCCTATCACCAACCCCATTCGACACATATTACCACAACATCTCACAATCCAAAATATTCAACCTACTCCTTAATATCTATAAAAAGCCCTGCTCGACGCAGGTTTACAGGGAAGCTCAACGATCGGATATGAAACGTTGTCGCCGCATTTTTAGGCAGTGAATATGTCAATGAATGTTATATTCGATATCGAGCTGGTCGAATCAACCCGTCGGAAGTTAAGAGGACATTACGAACCATATCAGACCCCTGATAAACGCTGCGTGCAGCTGATTTAGTACGGTATAAAAACAATCAAAGAAATTCACCCTCGAATACACTCTCACCCTCGAATCCACCTCCACAATTCGAATTCAGTACCAGCACTTCTATCTATTACAGTAGCTATAGCCACTCTCCAATCCAAAGCCCAAGACCGTAGTTTATTCCAGCCCAGCAAGAGAGTACGAAAAAGAACGAGACTTTGGTGGGGCCCATCGTACTTCTCCAGTCTCTTTCTCTTTTGGTTGCAAAGAAAATCTGGAGTCGGGTGATCAATCTTATATATCAGATTGCTGCTACTGTAAGAGGGGCAGGTTTTGATTGTATCAAGGCTTTAAGTGATTTTTTCTGTTATTCTGATGGATTTTCTTGATTGGGATGATGATATGTAAGGAAAGAAATATACGGCAAGTAAGAAAAGCCCTCTGTAAGACAGGTAGATATACCGTTACCGTGACGTCAGGGTGCACATGGTTCTTTCTTAAACCTTCGATACGCTATATCTCACTAAATTTCCTCTCCTTAAACCTCCTTCCTAAAATCTCCATACTTCTCATCTCCCTAAATTCCATTCTCACTACACCCCATTACCTCCCCCACTTTGTATCCTTTCACTACTCATACCCATAACTCATCATACACCACCTAAGCACCCCCAATATACCAATCCCATCTACTTAAAAACCCACGACAAGATCCCCACTACTCCCACAGTACATCAGAAACCCTCACAATATGCTGGCTATGGGGAGAGCTCATAACCCTACCTGAACCCCACCCCTCTCAATCCCAAGCGCACCCTCCCAATGGGAAAGACAAGTAGCAGACTCGGAATCTAAACTTCAGAGTCAGATCTTATAATCTAGAGACCAGAGTCTTGAAGATAGCTACCCTGAACGCTCACCATCTAAACGATCAATTGACAAGAGAAAGTTTACTTTTCATAAACTAGTTGAGGATATAAGGTTCAAGCGATTCGATGACTTTCTTATTCATGGTGCCAGCCAATACTCGGAATGGAAAGACGATGTACCCGAGAATCGAAATGATGATAATAACAATGGTGATGATAATGCTTGTGAGGGAATGAGGCATGCAAAATCGACTATAACTCTTTCTCCAACTCTCACACCCTACTCCCCCTCCTACCAAAAAAGAAAAATCCCCGATTTACCACCGATTCCACACCTGCTGTCGAAACCATTAATTTCGTACCTACCCTACCCAAACTTCGTTTCGCTATATCCCCGCGTGACACATACTTGTATATCCGAATAATCTTACTATATAATAATCTTTCAGATACGGCATAACAAAACGATAGATTTCTCGATACCGAGGACTCCAAACCGAAGAATAGGACGAAGATCTCTTTTGCGAGGGCCGCGGATACTTGGGATGTATGAGGAGGTGGGAGGGGTATTTAAGGGGTAAATGTTGTTAATATTAGTAGGCAGTTTAAAGTAAAAGCATCACGAGTTTGAAATTGAGTATTTGGAAAGTTAGCTTTTGTAGTAGCGCTGTATTGCATCATAATACCATATACATCTCAAAAACCTTTCAGAAAACCGAAGCCTTGTGCTTTTTGAGCCCCTTCTCAAACTTGTGTTTGAGTCCATCGTGCTATCGGAACCCTCCAATGCTTTCCTTGAATACCCCAGTCCCAAATATACATTTAGACATCCCTCAAACCATCACACATCACCCCTTTTTGGTCCACTCACGCAGCATTCTCTGCGGCCTTCAAAGCTACCTCAAACCTCTGCCTCAAATCATCCGCATCCTCTAGTCCAATACTAACTCTAATCAGATCCGCCGGAACACCAAACTGTGCCGCCCACTCCAATTCTAGATAATGCGCCAGCACCACATACGGCGATATCAAGGTGAAATTGGTTCCTAGACTCGGCCCCTTGGCTGTCTCGATACGGTCATAAAATGCAATTGCCTGAGGTTTCGTCTTGAATTCGAAAGATAGAAGACCGCCATATCCGCCGTTAGGCGTGCGACATGCGTCGTAAAACTCTTTTGAGGGGTTGTATTTGGGGTAGTATACTTGTTTGACCAGCGGATGGGCGCGAAGGATGTCACAGAGGATTTCGGCGTTATCGTTTATTTTCTCGATTCGCGAGACGAAGTGGCGACTATTTCGTTCCATGAATATGATATCTTCCGCCCAGTAATTGTCTTCGTATTCTGACTCTTGAAACTTCTTGAGTTGCTGATAGTATTTGCTTTTTGGATTGAGAATTGTGCCCCCGCCCATGACATTACATTCCCCCGAGAAGATTTTGGTCAAACTGCTCACTACCATATCGGCATGAGGCAGGACATGGACGTTAATAAAGTTACCGATCGTCTCATCTACCACGACGCAGAAATCATAGGTATCTGCAAGATGACGGATTCGCTTCAGATCCGGACATTTGAGCATTGGATTGCCGGGAAATTCGCAGAAGAGGGCTAGATATCTCTCGCCAGATTTTAAACGCTTTTCAAGCTCGTCTAAATCGTCGGACGATCCGTTGCCATAAAATAAACAGCCAGGACCAAACTTTTCAAGGATTTTGAGGGTATCAACATATGGGAATCCGAACGAGATACTCTTCATCTGACCTCGAGATTCAAGCAGCATCTGATGCGCGTTGAATATCGAGTTCATGCCACAAGAGTACAAATAAACATCATCCTCTGAAAGTCCAGTAATACCACGTGTGTCTGACTTTCTGGGACTTGAACTCCTCATTGCAGCAAGGTCTTCTTCGCCCATCAGTGATCCAGCTATACGTCGTCTAATGGCTGACTTGGCATTCTCGACTAAAGAAACATCAAGATTGCGGCCGAATCTCTCCTCCAAGAATTGAGAACTCTCACGAGATTCTGGTACGTCATGAGGCAGTCTGGACTCAGTTGGAGCAGAAGATCCATTCTTCTTGGTGGTATCGATTGAATTTCTCTGATATCTCTTTGGACCCTTACAGGCCTTTTGAAATCCATTCTCGCCGGTCGAAATGGGTTGAAGAGTCTTTTCATCTGTCAAAATACCCTCTTGGAAAAGACCGTGGCAAAACTCGGCTCGCCTGCTTGAAACGCCATCACCAGAATGTTGCCAATATTGCTTTGCGACAGGGAACAATTCCTGAGGAAAGACGACTGCTGATATAGAGGGAGATAGGTTTGACAGACTATCAGGAATCTGTTTGCTTTTGTCAAGGACGAGACCAAATGTTTCTAATTGGTTGATGGATATCGATGAGTCTTTCTGAAGCATGAATTTCACACAGCCTCGAGCAGTTCGATGGGTAGGAAACAACATTGCTGACTGGCCGGCTTTTCCATGTTTTTTGACGATATCTTCGGCAAAAGCGGCAATTGACTTGTGTATGAAGAAACTAGACGAGGGGTGAGCTAGTATTGCAACATGGAAAATTATACCAATTGTCATACCGAGGATAACCAGTTGTCATCTTACTCAGGACCCTCTCTTTGCCCTCCTCATAGCCAACATTATCATCCCATGTTGGGAGAGATACACTGGTTCCCTGGTTCTGGTTAGTTGGTTGTTTCGTTTGCAAGGAGGGGCAAGTGACATAATGTGAAGTTCAAGCTGTGAGAACTGGAATTGAGACTTACATGAGGAGTAAGCGAGGGGATGGAGTCTCCCAACTCGATCACTGACATTTTCGCTTTGGGACTAATTATCTAGACCGACTGAGGGGGAATGGCGTCGGTATGACTTTGAAGGGAAAATCCAGAGTCCTTGGTTACTCGCACCAAGAGAGACGGATAGCGCAAACCCAACCCCACATGCCGTTATCGGAGCCGGCGATGAGGCCGATAAGAAGTGAAGCTAAGCCACTTTGGTCATAGCTGTATTTTCTGCCATCGGAAAAAGTTGCGCATTTTTTGGTGGCGGAGAGCTCGCATTTACTGCAACTATTTGGTTCAGCAGCTGCGCAACTTCGATTCAATCCGTACAGAATGTCTCCGATATCTCCAAAACGCCGAAAGCTTGACCACGACAGCACAGATGAGATCTCAAACATTTCAGGCTCCGATGAGGAAATGAATGTGGACCGGGAAGCTTTCGAGGACGATGCGCCAACTACCAAAACGAAGCAAAACCCCACAAAATCGCATCAGTCGCGGGAGGTGGACGAAAGCGCGGTATATGCTGGAGGGCTCTTCAAATCAAACACTTTCAAAATTCAAGTCGACTATCTGCTGGAAGAAATCAGGCCGAATTACGATGGAAAGCTGGGAAAGGCAAACGAAACTTTGAGCAAGCTGAAAGGCTTAATTGAAGCCATTGAGCCTCGAGATGCGCTTCCTGTAAGTACAAGATGGAGGGTTTGGCTGGTGTGGACCTTTGCTAATTTCAAGATACAGGTCGCAGAAGCTACAAAACTACTGCAAAAGTCACATAAGATCTCCGTTCCATTTCCCTCTCCGAAACCCGACAAAAGTGCAGCCTATAAATTAGCCTACGCGAAACCATCTAGAATAAATGTGATTGGAAGTTACCCGATGAGGACCATGATTAAGCCGGCCAAGTCAGATCATGTCTTGTCTATCGATATGGTTGTGGTTATGCCTGCGTCAATACTGCAAGAAAAGGACTACATGAATTATCGATATTTTTACAAGAGAGCTTACTATCTTGCCAATATTGCTGCTGGTCTCCAGGAAAGTCTCAAAGATACTTACACGCTGATGTTTAAGTACCTCAATGGGAACGATCTTCATCCAATACTGACAGTCAAGCCAAAACCAGGTAAGGATTTTGAGTTCGTATACAAATGTCGGCTAACACCCAACACAGCTGATTCCAAAACTCCTTCTAAATATGAAATCAACATCATTCCTGCTGCCCCTGCTGGTTTTTTCCCAGACGCCAAGTTGCTTCCGTCTAAAAATTCCGTTCGACCCAAAGAAGGTGCTGAAAATGCAACTCTTCCTCCAACCCCGTTTTATAATGCATCACTGAGTTCAGACCGAAATTTTGAGGCCTATCTTAAACTTTTACACCTGGCATCCAAGCAGTCGAAGAGCTTTGCAGATGCAATTATGCTGGGCCAAATCTGGCTTCGACGACGAAATGTCTCGGGCTGTATATCACAGGGAGGATTCGGGAGTTTCGAGTGGGCTGCTATTATGGCTTTACTTATGAAAGGCGGGGGCCCGAAAGGTCATAGTGTCCTTTCCGAGGGTTATAGTAGCTATCAGATGTTTAAAGCTATGCTTCAATTTATTTCCGCAAATGACATGTCCAGCAAGCCATTCATTTACGAAGCATCGGATGTTTCTCTACCAAAATCTGATACGCCGGTGTTTTTCGACGGGCCCCGCAGTCAAAACCTTTTGTACAAAATGACGCCTTGGTCTTATGGACTTTTGAGAGAAGAGGCTAAGGTTTCTCTGGATATGCTCAACGACGACACTTTCGATCAGTTCGAGTCAACCTTTGTCACTTCAGCTTCTGAGTCTCTGCAAAGATATGACTGCGTGGTTCGCATGCCGTTACCTACAGAAATACCTCCATCCTCAGAGTGCGATCACCTCACACAGATCACAAGTCTTTCCCGTCGAGTCTTCAGTGTCTTACGAGAAGGTCTTATGGACAGGGTAAAGCTAATCAACATCAAAACCCCAAGTCTACCTAATTGGGCATTCAAAGCTTCTGGGCCAAACTCAGAAGCACAAATAGTCTTGTATTTTGTGTTTGATCCCGCGATTATAGACCGTCTTGTGGATCATGGACCATCAGCCGAAGAGAAAAGGAAGGCGCTCAAATTTCAGAAATTCTGGGGGGAAAAGGCGGAATTGCGTCGTTTCAAAGATGGCAGTATTCTTGAAAGTTTGGTCTGGAAGTCTGCTTCCACCTATGGCGTGTTCCAAGAAATTGTCACCTATATCATCAATCGTCATTTCACCAAGGAGATAAGCGAAGGCTTGACTTTTGTTGGCCAAAGTTTCGATAAAGCTATACGGGCTGCTGATTCTACCACCAAGCAATTCGAAGCTCTTAAAGAGGCTTTTCGCACTTTTGAAAAGGATGTTAGAGAACTAGAAGGGCTGCCTTTGCAATTACGGCAGCTCTCCCCTACGAGCCCGCAGCTTCGGTACACTTCTATTGATGCACCCTCATTCAGCGCTCACAGCCCTTTGAAAGACCCGGCTAATGTGTTGATTCAATTTGAAGGATCTGGTAGATGGCCTGACGATCTTATTTCGATTCAGCGCACGAAGATTGCTTTTCTACTTAACATTGGAAACTTACTCGAGGACTGTGATGGTGTTGTTATGACCCGAGTTGGACTCGAGAATGAAGATAAACAATTTGAGAATTGCGCTTTCTTAGACGTAGTTTGCAAATCAGGCGCTGCATTTCGATTGCGCATACAGAATGATCGAGAGCAAACCCTTCTGGAGCGTCTCGTGAAAGACAAATTCACAGACTCTCGTACTCGGGATGAAGCCGTGTCTGCATTGGCCGCCTACAAGACAACATTTGTTCAACTACCCCTCCTAACTCAGTCCATCTCTACACACTGCACAAGATTCCCACTTCTGTCCCCTACGATCCGTCTGCTGAAAATGTGGTTTGATAACCACATGCTTTTGGGACATATCAGTGGCGAGCTGATTGAACTTCTGGGCGCGCATACATTTTTGCACGCTTACCCCTGGCGAGCACCATCTTCTGTGATGACTGGCTTCCTAAGGACGTTGATGTTTATCGAACGATGGGATTGGCGACACCAAGCGCTTGTCGTAGACTTTACAGGTACCATGACCAGTAAAGATGTCACCTCAGCAAATACTCGCTTAGAAGCTTGGAGAAAGATTGACCCCGGAATGAACCGAACAGTGATCTTTGCTGCTTCGAACCATGATACAAGCGGTGTTGGATTCACAGAGATGGGACCTTCCAAGGTCGTTGCTGCTCGTATGACGGCTCTTGCGGGCTCTGCATACAAGCTTGTGAAAGAAAAGGGCATTGAGTTGGATCATCGCTTGCTATTCGCAAGCTCGACGGCTGGTTATGACTTTGTCATACACATCTCTCCATTCTTTGCCAAAGGTTCTAAACGCAAAGACACCTCCAAATCCAAGTTCAAGAATCTCAAGGTTCAATCTGAGGCGGACCTAGAGCAGATTGGGTACCAACCTATACCGCTTTTCCTTGCTGAGCTGAAGAAGATCTATACGAATAGTATTGTTTTCTTCTATAGTGAGGAGGTTGGTACTTGTATTGGGGGATTATGGAATCCGCAACCGGTGGCGGGGAGAACGTTGAAGATTGGTATTGAGTATGCTACGAAGGTTATTAGTTCAGAAGAGGGAGAGCAAAATGTCCAGTTAGATAAGGGCGCGATACTAGCGGAGATTTCGAGGTTGGGCGGGGATATGGTGTCGAAGATTGAGGTGCAGAGATGATTATGTACGTGCTTTACAGTAATACCCAATAGTAAACTAGTGAGAGAGGAGATGGGATACCCAATTGACCCCTGTTACATCTGGTACATACACTTTACCAAAAAAAGTTCAAGAACCGACATTACTACAAGAGACCCCCCTCCCCTCCTCAATTCACAACCCCCCCCTAACTCTCTCAACCCACTCCCCAAAACTCTCCGGCCTCACATCCATGACCCTCTCAAAATCCCCACCCTCAAACTCCTCACTCCCCCTCGCCGTCGCCCCCTCGATACCAGCGAGGAACCCTGCGATTTGGGCGGGCATACCCATTCCTAGAAACTTCTCGCGTGACTCCTCTTCGGAGATCTGGATGTGAGAGATTTCTTTACCGAGTTTGTTGCTGAGCATTTGGGCGATCTGGTGTGTGTGTTAGTTGGTTAGGTATTGGATGGGGCATGGGGAATTGGCTGGAGGGTGTGGGTGGGAGAAGGAAAGAGATGCGAACATCGTCAAAAGATAATAATTCCGGTCCTAGAAAACGATAACTTGATAGGAAAGGGATGGAAGGGTTATCGGTGGTGAGAATGTGGAATGCCATCTTTGCGATATTCTGGGTGCTTACGAAGGGGATCTTGCCGGTGCCGCAGGCGGAGTAGATTTTTGATTCTTGCTTGATGGAGGTGTTGTGGTGCCAGGTTAGGAAGTTGTCTATCGTTATATCATTAGCATTCTTCACTATATCACTTTCCCAATTGCCATGGTTGCTACTTTCTTTACCACCCCTTTCCATGACTATAGTATCGACTTTGAGAAAATACAAAATAAGGAAGGAATGAAAGAAAGAAAAAACAAACCCATAAACCAAGTCCCCCGTCACACAACAACCCCCTCTCCCTCTCCAGATCCCTTTGAGAATTCAAGCAAATCCCACACCTTCCCCGGCCCCTCACCCCCCCTCTCCGCCGAACTCCCAGTGAGGGAAACAAATTTCTTCACCCCGTTCTGGCGAGCTAGTTCTATGAAGGGACCCATGACCTGGACTGGATCGGTGATCTCGGGAGCGATGAGGTAGATTGCTTGGATTTTTAGGACTTCATCATTATCAGAGGCTGATGATGAGGGCGTGGTTGTGGTGGAGGGTATGTAATCGAAGCAGTTTTGGAAGGTTGAGGGGTCTGTCCAGTCGAATTTCACGACGTGAGGGATTTCACTCAGAGAGGGTGAGGGACCCTTTCGTGTGGCGAGGAGGAATGGTGTCTTGGTTGAGAGGCAGAGTTTGGTTATTTGGGAGGTTGTTTTTCCTGTTCCGCCGGTGAGGAGGATTGCCATTTTATGGTACTGTACGATTACAGTAGCTTAAGCGAGGTGTGAAAGGGGAGTGGGGTGGTGATGGAGTTCGCGAGATGTAATTGTGTGAAGAGGCTGAAGGTGAGGTTTGTAATTTGGAAATGGATACTAAGAGAGGTGTTTGGAAAGAGTGCTGTATTGGTTTCTCATACTTGGATGAGGAGATATAAGTGTTTACTAAGTCCGGCAGGTGTTGGCTGAATGGGGAAGTGGTTATCTCCGTATCTTCGAAGGATTGCTGAATCGGGAGGGTTGCGGGGTTAGTGGTGTTTATGTATTTCTCCTTCAGGTTAGGGAAAGCCAGTAGTGATTGGATGGAGGTAGGAAAGGATTCATGCGCGGAAATAGGTAATTGTGTTGAAAGTGACCTAGAGATGTTTCAATCATATTGTCGTTGATGGTTTTACTAGCTTGGTTATAGGGGAAGAATTTACATTAAGAGGCACATGAACTCGTCCCGTCTCTTAATGACAAGCACAATTCGATTACCTAATAGATATCAGATAGGAAAGAAGTCGTGGAAGATGGGCTTTTATTGGATGGTCTGTTAAAGTCGGCGACTGAAAACAGGAAAGTTGGATTATTAGCATGTGATTTCTTAGTGCGTGGTCTTCGATAGCTGTGAGGAACTTGCCCTTAGCAATGTATAGTTTGATGATTTAGTTAGGGTTATTAGTTCTGCTCTCTTCTTGTTACGTATACATAAGGATACAGGAGTACTAGTGTCGCGAAATATGCGTCCTGGAGCTGTTGGGGGAGAAGCCACGTGACACTGTTTTGGACACTCACAGGCTTTGATATCTTCGTAGCATACCACACCCATTTTGTTGAATATCATACGAATATTAGCCAACAAGATATTCCGTATTGCTTGTCGATTATATAGTTAAGACCAACACTGATCGGTGTCCATTCACCTAGTGCTCATAATAAGTATTCATAAGGGAGTGAATCGATCAGTGCCGTTCGGAGGTTTCTCCGAATTGCTTAGAAGTGAAGGTGGCTAGCTATACTATAAACGCTTATATGCCAGTACCAGGTGATGTGAAGCAACATGAGGATATGTCATACTATATTTCAATTTAACTAACATCACTACAACTAATCCTCCAATAAATACTAGCGAACAACAGCCTATAACCTTACGATCGTTTCAAATATTCGCTGAGAAGTCTACAGTAACAGGTCGCCAAGATAATGAAATCTATTACTGTTCAGCTGAGTCTGAGATTCTTCTGCCGTCACCAAAAAAATCATCGGACATCGTCAAGAAACCAATAGTTTTGTCAGATTACACAAATGCCATGAGATGACCATCATAGACCTCTCCAATATCCAATCGATAGCAATGCTGACTCGGTCTGTAAAAATCCACCTATACTACCCAAACCTTCAAAATCAACAGCATCAAGCTCGACTCCCAGTTATATCAACATCTCTCTGAACACGAATCCCCTCCGATACGAAAGCTCGTTTAGGAGGTGTAACATGGCTCGCAGTGGCATGCATCTCCATAATTTCATCACTCCTTAATGGAACACCATCCTGATTCCTATCTCCAAGCCTTCCATATGTGTTTGTTCTGGAATTCCTAGAGCCTCTCGAGTTTTTGGACCCTGAAGATCCACCTCCCATCGAGTTAAGGGACAGCGCGCTGCGGACACTATTGATTGCAGATTGTAATCCTACTTCTGGAACCAGAGGTTTAAGGGATGGAAGAGAGCAGGCTATCAGGGCGAGGCCTGCTTCGATCATGGACCAGTAATATATTGCGGCTATAGTTACTGGAGGAAACATTAACCGTGTTCACTGGTTCCATTGAATATTCACTTACAGTTTTCGTCTGTTACGACATGGTAGCTTGTAGAAGTGACTTGAAGAACGATTGCAAGACGGATTATTGATGCAATGAGTGCCCTTACGGTGCATTAGGAAAGACCAAATTGAGAGAGATGGAGACTTACATGAATGCAAGTAGCAATATTCCAGTGACAGCAAGTTTCTTCTTCCAATGCATATGAAGACGACCAAACCTTGATTGACAGGCTATAATAGTAATTAAGTCCGCATAAGTGAGGGCTTACAGTTGGTATTGGCAAAGCAACTAGAAGAATGTTCGTGACGAATTCTGAAACATAGAGCGCCTCCTCTCTCTGAAGTCCATTGCTGCAATACGTGATCAGATCTTGCAGAGATCCCCAATTTGCAGTATAATGAGTTCCACAACCCCAAATAGTGAGAAAGATAAACGTGAGCATCCAGGCAATGATAATGGCAACCAAAATCCAAGCTAGAGTATTGAGTATGCCACCCTTTCTCTCTGTGACGAAGAGACGTCGATAGAAAAATAGAATGCTCAATTTGATGAACCCGTAAGCCAGGACGATCAATATTGTAATAGCGAATTCAATCTGCGAACAATAGGTTAGCGTATAAGGAGTTCAAGATGCGGTGGTTCAAAGTTGGGATTACCTGCTGTACAATTTGCAATTCTGGATTAATTGCTGTCATTCTGTGTTCCCCTGGTTCTGGTGGTGGAGTTGGATATCCAAAGGCATGTTTCTTCACGCCTAAAGACACAATATCAGCACATCATTCATTACTATCAGGAATAAAGTCTTCCCGGCTATAAGACAAGCACCCATTCCAATCACCATAAACTTTGAAGAAATAGAGCGTCAGCATCTTTCGCAGTGGATACATCCAAAGACTTGTCTTACCAAGGCAGGAATTATGAACCAGTCGTCCCAGCCCATTTTCTGCCGTTTGTCTACTCGTACGTAGAATCTGAGAACTACAGTCAAGATCCCCACAGTTGGGAATACAATCCCAGCAGCAAGCAAATGGCCCGGGGTTGCATATGGAACGAAAATAATGGAGGGAAGGTCGGACAATGACATCTGGACGGTTGACCCTAATCAGTCTGACAAAGCTCTTTACCATCAAATGATCATAAGATATCTCGATTGTGAAATGCAAAGTATGCAACGAGGGGGTTCTTGCTTCTTCATGATAGAGAATTTTCCATACCTCAGGAACGATCAATTCGCATAATTAAGCCTCCAATCCTCTTAATTTCACCATCAAGCGCGCCTCCTTTCTTGCTCCGGATTGCTCGGATCCATTCATATGTCTCTGCACTGTTTGATAGCTGATATCCAGGCTGGTTGTGTGGTTAAGCGAGGTGTGCATTCAAGGGACGGAATATGGGGCGCCTCGTCGACTGTAGTAAAATGCAATTGGAAGCGATACCTCTCAATAATAAGAGTCATTCCGAGAAGCATATGCTAATCCATATCAGGAAAGCCGATTGCCAGGCTCGCCAATGATCGCTGTTTCAAAATGTTACAGTGAGCATTCTGACTTGTCGCATGAATTGATTAAGAGAAGACCATTCGTTTCTACCAGGGGATTTGAGAAGTTAATGTGCCAAGTGTATTTTGCACAACGGCAGATAATCGAACTTTTGTTTTCCAGATTATGCACTGTAGCCAATGTAATACAGCAAATAATCACGTACTAGCGAATCCTCTGGAACAATTGTGTTTCTACCCCTTCATGATGTATCATATGCTTGTTGATGCTGTGTCAATCCACGGGAACCATGCATGCACCCTAAACTCCCATGAAAAAACAGATCTTGATTGTGTAACATACAAATCAGCTTACGCGGCACTGACCTGCCTACTCCTTTTATAGGCACGGGGGAAAAGCCCGTTATTCCACACCAGACACCCTATATGTTGACTAAAATAAAGTTGCTTACTTGATACGAATCGAGAAAAAGATATCAAAAATCACTCATCGGCTTGGGAAACACTCTATTATTATGGCGGCAGGTCTTAGCGTTTGAGTTTCATTATTGTTATGTATGCGATTCAAGTCGCTTCAACAAATCTTGCAATAGACGGATGAAAGCCGGAGATTACTAACGTTCCCATAAAGCCCCTGAAGTTGGATCATGATTTCTTCCAACGCCTTCTCATTGCCTAGTAAATTTTTAAAGTGACTACTAAGTACAGAGGGATCGAGATCTTAGATATACACATGTGATCGCTGACCAACCATACATTCACTCATTGCTTGTCATGTTGGTACCAAAATTACTACGGTACCTCTCTTATTGACAATTCCTCAACAAACTTTTGCAGATGCTGAAGTTCCAAAATGCCTACCCCATCATTTACCCTCATCTTGCTCATCGCTTGCTGTTACCCCATTTATCAATTATGGAAATCAATCTCATATCGTTGGGCAGTACGAAAGGCAGGCTGCTCACTTCCTAAGCGGTACAAACACATAGCACCTTTCTGGGGACTTGACTTAGTGAAAAAAAGGGTTGAATCCATGAAACTTGGCAATAAATTAGCCCTCGACAACTACCTTTTCTCCACCTACGGCAAGACTGTCCAAACCAATTCCTGGGGTACAAAACAATACGTCACCATGGACCCTCAAAATATCCAGACAATATGTGCGACACATGTCGACAAGTTTGGGGCAGCTCCTTTGAACAGCGCGATTTCTCAACCGTTTCTTGGAGATGGAATCATGAACACAGATGGCGCACAATGGAAACGCTCCAGAAACCTGCTTAACCCAGTCTTTGCGCGCTCACAGATTGCTGAGTTATCAAGCTTTGAAGTACATCTGAATCGATTGATCGAGATGATTCCACTGGACACAACGGTCGATATGCAACCTCTCTTTAAGATGCTATTTCTCGATGCCAATACAGAATTTATATTCGGAAAGTCGGCAAACTCTTTGGCCCCCGAGACGAGTTCTCCAATTGCTCGCCGGCTTCCCACGACTTTTGATGCTGCGCTCAGAGGGATGCGGAGACGTTTCATTCTTGGAAAGTTGGGATTTCTGGCTGGCGGTAATAAGGAATACGCGAGGAATTGTAGAGAAACCCATGAAATTGTCGATAGTTTCGTGGATGAGGAATGCGAATTACAGAAATTGGAAAGAGAGAAAGGGGATCAGAATTTAAATTCACAGACCACCCCGTACAACTACGTCCTTTTGAAAGAATTAGTGCGCACCACGGATGACAGAAAGTTCGTCCGAAATGAACTCATGAATGTGTTCTTCCCTGCTCGAGACACCGCAGCTACAATGACTGGCAACATTGTATTCCTCCTAGCTAGACATCCGAAAGTATGGGACACTCTCAGAGAAGAATTTTTGTCAATTGGCGACAGGCATTTGAACTTCGAACTCCTCAAGTCGATGAAATATCTGCAAGCTGTTATGAATGAAGGTTAGTCGACTTATAACTGAAGATATCGGACATTGACTTCCATAGGGCTTCGTATTCTCAATCCCGTTGCCAGAAGTTGGAAAACCTGTTTAGAAGCATGCGTCTTACCACACGGAGGCGGACCCACTGGAAAAGATCCAATTCTTGTACAGCCAGGAGATCAAGTCGATATGGCATTTGGTGCTCTGCATATCGATCCCGATATTTGGGGCGAGGACGCCTTGGAATTCAAACCCGAAAGATGGGCTGGTTTGAAGCAAAGTTGGAATTTTATCCCCTTTCTGGGTGGCCGTCGAATATGCCCTGCGCAACAGAACATCTTGACCGACATGTCTTACGTGTTAGTCAGGCTTATGCAACGATTTAAAACCTGCAGGAACAGGGATGACTGTATGGAATATGTTGAAGAGTTTGTGTTTACAAAAGGAGAGTAGAAACGGTATCAAAGTGGCCTTTTCTGCGGTGTAGCTCATACTTGGGACCAGGAGAGGGGAATGGCAATATAAACAATATAATTATGTGCCTTAACAACCATTGGATTTAGAGACATTCTTGTCTTCTGTGTGAAGATTCCGCGCTGTTTTCAGACAATCCGACTCGACGAGTCTATTCACCTAGGACTCGGTACTTTGCAAGCGAAGCTATTCCTAAAAGATGCCATTTTCCCACACTACTACACAAAATTAGCAAAAAGAATAAGATCCTCTCTACAAAAAGATTGCAAAAACTTAATTACCAACCGCCGAAGCGTGGACCTTAAGCAAACACAGACACCATTTCTGGTCGGTTTATTACTTCGCTCCGATAGGCCGCGGGCTCTTGCTAATTTCATGTCTTGCGATCGACCAAAGTCGCCCCTGGGCCATTCAAACAAGTTTGCTTGAATGGTTGCAGTTGGCTGTGTTATTTGTGGTTATAAAGGGAAACCTCGGGGGGTCACAAACGTGACCAAATCAGTGACATATACGTCCTTATGTACATATAATTTGTGAAGGCGCTCAAATACAATTTAAGCGTTAAATTCTCGAAGTATTTCCATATACTCAAGTAGTCCTTGAAAGATACCTAAAGTCCCACTTCTTGGAGCAATCACATCTCATCAAGCCAGCTCCACTTCTTCTCGTCGGCAGGCTTCCAATCTTGACCCTCTCCAAAATAGGTTCTGACTTTCTGAAGCTCCTCACTTCCCTCGGGGCAAAATCGCATCCTCGAAAGCTGGGAAGGTTTCAGATCGTCCACTTTAGCATTGCCATATCGATAACAAGATGGGTAACTATCAACCCATTTCACCAACGCGTCCCAGTTCCTGCAGGAGCGAATTTGACCTTTCGCAGTAACAGGCGTCATATCTGGAGTTGTGGTCCGTGGGGTATCATCTGCGTTGCAGAGAATATCAAGACGAAGCTGATCGAGACAGTGAATTATATGCCCTCCTTCGAAGGACTGGGGGCGGCCTTCTTGGTATTCCATGAATGCCTGGTATATATTCTTCTACGGCAAGGATCAGTATATAATAAATACTCTTTCTGGGATCTTTTTTACCTACCAAGCAGTGCAAACCATGGTACGCATTGATGAGATAGAGACTCTTGTTGTGATTCCATGGAAATGTGGACCCAATTGGAATTCCTTTTTCGCTAGCAAATAGGGTTGGTAGAGCGATGAGGCCTCTGTCGATGTTAATAGAGTCCCAATTCTGATGCCGCTCAGTTGCGTTCTGGCTGGTGTAAGGGTCCTCGTGAGTCCATAAATGTTGGATTTCGTCTTGTTTCAAGCCAGCTATGGCGATGTCAGCAAGCCTTTCATTTCGTGATACAGTAAGACTACATCTAACTATATTTAGTTCGCAGGTCGTTAGCTTGTCCTGTTGAAATGTTCGTAAAGTCAAGGACGCCGATTCCTTGAAATATATTCAGAGCCAACGAGATAGCTAGGAGGACTCCACAGAGGTTACAGCGGGACTTTCTGGTGTTTCCAGCCTTAGCTTGGATACTGAACAATTCCGGTTCTTCGTCAAGGAGAAGTGCACTTTCATATTTGGTATCCATGGCTCGAAATCACTATATGATGGGCTTAATTCTATTCAAGAAATCTGAAGCTCTGCTATAAAAAAGGAGGAAAGGACGAATACTGTAATCCCTCGTTAGCAATATAAATATGCAGCATGTTTCGTGCACCGACTCGCTATTACTAGACAGATTCGGTAGTTTGAGTCAAAGTAAACACCCGAGTACGAGGTATTAACACATGTTAAATTTTACTGTATTTCGGTGATTATCGTTATCCTTGGGGTGTGTAGCTGAGTCAAGTGGGGGTGAAATGTTGTGGCGTACATCACATACAAAGCTGGTCTTTAGGTGTTACCTTGATAAGCTGCTTACTGTTATGTTGTATAACGCATTTATGCAGTTAATAGAGCATCTGATCGAGGTGTTGTTTAAGGTTGTTTATGTGCGATTCGATCAAATCCAAGGTTTCCATAGCAAGGGCGTTTTATCTGCAATTATGGCAATCAGCTGCCTAATCACGCATATCGCAGGACTGAAAACTATTGGAGCTTTACATAAAGTGCATATTTGAATGCTTCCGGCTTTTGCCTAATCCTCTTGCTTGAGGCACAGTCGTAATTCCCTGCGCAGAGAAGGAGAAAAATAGGGTACAGTATTGGCGCAACAGTTCTAGAACGCAGTATATAAACAAGGCTGGGAAATCCAGCAGATTCACCAAAATTCAAAGACCACTCATAAGATTTGGAACCATCTAAAACCCAAATTTTCCATCAAGCAACAGTCTTAGAACCACCCGCTCCAACACAAATACCATTCGCCACGAAGCAAAATGTTCTCTCTCAAGCCGCTCGCCGTGGTCATGGCTCTGCTCATCCTCAAAGCATTTGCTACTCCACTTCCAAGTAAGCTTTCCCAATCTATCTCTGGTTGATTCTAAGAATGTGAGAATAACATTTATTACTGTAGACACAGAGCCAAACCCGATCAGTTCGGCTAACACCGCCGATACACCTCACGAGCCTGAACCTGGCCGGTTCCTTTGAAGAGATCCAAGAATGAAGGATGTTGGGTCCAAAACAGGAGTTTCTTTCAGGGTTATTTGATGATGTCGACTATGCTTGAATGATGTTGTCGCGGGATGCAATCGGAAGAAATGTGTTCTTGAGGTGGCGATGGGTATCACTGTCCTTGCACGTTCGTTTGATCATAGGGAAGCACATTCCTAGCCTGTATAACCAATCTCAGTATGGTTGAGTCGTGCTCTCAGTCCAAATTCTTGACATTTACAATACCACTGGAGCTATTTGAACTGAAGTCAACGAGTCCCCCTCTCCCCCCTTTCTCAGGCGAAAGGCGAAGTGGTCCGTGCACATAAACACTTCCACCTCTCGCTGGAGGCTTAATCGCATAAGTCTCCGTAGGACATTCCGATCATGTGATTTCACGCAGTAATGACCAGACTCTTAGAACTGTTTCTACACTTGAGTCTACCGTACGCGTCATTTTGGCCAAGTTTTACCACGTGCGGACTTTCCAACCAGACTCGCATCAAAACCATTCTGTGCTGATAACGTCTCTCAAGAATCACTTACGTTAGTTAATTAGGCGAATACAAAGCTTAAACCAAAAGAGCCGACTTCGCTTGTTGATTTTACTCCCAAGTAAAGGAGTATATACTGGATTCGTTTGTGTCCTAACTTATATTTGGGTAGCCGTCTAAACTATTCTCGAATACTTATTAATAATTTTCTTCCCGAATCCCGACTTTTAATGCCTGGCTATACCACGTAAGAACTTTCGTGTCACCTCAATTGTAAGACTCGTGCGCCTCGATATCCATAAGTTTTTGATTCCACCTCATCTTACATCAATATTCATGTGAACTGATTATTAAGTTGTGATTTGAAAAATAAGGGAACCAATCAACTACCGAGTCTCGTGTTCGCTCTCATATTTTTGTGGAGTCGGTTATTGTTACTTGGGTTATTTGAAATTCCTATATTTTGAATTAAACCACGAGAAATCCTGGGCAATCTTTTAACATAAAGATCCATATGTACTGTGACGAAGTTGGCTACTCTGCGTTCGAAAGATACAAAAAGGCCGTGCCAACTCAGTACGATTCTCCACCACAAAATATCCATCAGCAGCTGTTTTGAAAACTTTCAGTATCACGAATAGCGGAACACATTTTAGTTCAAAATGAAGGCCATCGTTCTATCCAACCCCGGAAGCCCATCTCACTATTCTTTCGATCAAGTCCCTGCTCCCTCTCCACTCCCAGGTCATGTCACTATAAAAGTCAAGGCTTTCGGACTAAACCACGCTGAGATGCATATGCGACGTGGAGAATGGGCAGAAACACATCGAATTTCGGGCATCGAATTTGTCGGTATTGTGACTGTCTGTCCCAACAACGAATTCCCTGTTGGCGCCAAGGTTGCTGCTCTCATGGGCGGTATGGGGAGGACTATAGCAGGAAGTTATGCAGAGTACACTCGTGTTCCTGCGAGTAACTTCGCTTTGATTGAAAGCAACTTGAGTTGGGAGGATTTGGCTGTTATACCAGAAAGTTATGCTACTGCTTGGACGTGTTTGTTCCGAAATTTGGAGTTGGAAAGGGGAGAGACTTTGCTTGTCAGGGGAGGAACAAGTGCATTCGGTCTAGCGGCAATAAACCTGGCAGTGGAAGCTGGAGCGAAGGTCATCGCTACAACAAGAAACTTGAATCGCGAAAAGAAGCTCCTTGATCTAGGTGTTAAGCGAGTCATACTCGAATCCCACACTCTATCTGCCGAATTTCAGGGCTGCGAAAACATCGACAAAATCCTCAATCTGGTCGGAAATAGCGTGCTGCTCGATTCTATGCATATTCCAAGACGCGGAGGAAGTGTGTGTCTGGCTGGTTTTCTTGGTGGGCTCGATCCGATCCCGGAGTTCAATCCTTTGGCTCAGTTACCGAGCGGAGTACAGTTTAGCTTCTTTGGGAGTTTTCATTTTGGGACGCCTGGCTTTGCACTTTCTGACGTTCCATTACAGAAGATTGCTAGCGATGTGGAAGCTGGTAAGTATGAGGCCAAACCAGTGCGAGTTTTCAATTTCGAGAAAATCGACGAGGCGCACATACTATTGGAAGTGGGTGCTGGAGGGAAGATTGTTGTGACTGGTGTTGACAAAGAGGATGCATGAGATGAAGCTCGAAGTTCATTATCAAATTATGTTATTACTAGCCTTGTTGATTGATCTTCCCGAAGGATCTTGATTTGAGTTTGAGAAGTCTCCACTGCAGCCGCCCAAGCCCGCCCCTTTTGTTCGCTTATATTAACGTCTGGAAAGTCCGACACCACAAATACGGATAGCTAGCTATTGGGCTCAAATGGTGCTAATCTGTTACATACTTTAGGTCGGAGAAATCACGTCAGCAAAATTGCAACAAAAATAGGCGTTATAGAAGAATGAGCAGTAGAAGCCGGCAATCCAGCATCATGTCCTGTCACAAACTTATATTAACTCTCCATGTGAACCGGGCTAGTATATTAAAGTCCAAGACTATCTAGCTTTCGATAAAAATCAATAAGATATCGTTATCGACTACTCGGCCCTTCTTTACCATACACATTGCGCCTCAGGTAGAGGATTGTGTAGAAAATATATGATCACCCCTCATCCCCCCTTCCCCACAGCATATCGCTAGAGCAGCCAGGCTGAGATATAAATCTTCTCAATTTGACCACTTTCTACCGTATCATAATCGTAATATCTCCCCCAGAGAAGCAAACACCAATCATTTCTTGGAAGTCTCACCCGATGCCTCGCTTAAAACAGGGGTACACTACCCTATCGCATTTAAGGTTACTTATAGAATTTGGCTTGCGCTTCATGAAGAATCCCCATTAGCTTGGAGTTTCCATTCTTTCTGCATAATGCCGTTGGACACTTAACTCCACTTTGCTTCTGCGGTGCAACCCTTCATAGCATAATTGCGCCTCAGGCCCATGGCCCCCACACGGCCTTCCAGTTTTTGACAAATTTCGTCTCGTCATAGCCCCAAAAGTCGTCCCTCTCGAGGATTTGACATTATTTGTAATTTCTGACATATTTACACAGCGTAAAGCACGTAGAAATCAGTTGGTTCAGTTCCCTTTTACATGCAGAGCATGGCTTACTTGGTTTAGAAGTTCAGATTATTTACCCCAACTGTCTGCCGTGATAGATTTTACAACCGTGATTTATTCTGAAATGCAAACATATAGTGTTCTGCAGCATCTCGGCATGCAACTGCTGTGTAACTTGTTTCTGCACTATCAGTAATATCTTTTTGATATAGGCTATACAAGCATTGGTCTGCGTTGGGAGTCATAATTCGGAATCGGAAACTCCCGATCATTGCATCGATCTATGTCTAGCAAAAGTCTAGTCTCTCAAGACACGGGTATGGGGAACAAATTTTGCTTAGGAAGGCATTCCGGCTTCGGGCTCTATCAAGCTAAAAGCAGCCCACAAAAAGCACGTGAAGGTTCTCTGCAACTCTAGCAATATTTGCATATCATATAACAGCACTTCGTTGAGTATGAATGTTTACTTCGCCATGCTTTTACTTTCCCTTTTGCTTTCGAAGTTTGTAGTTGGACTGGGCAGTGGACACCACAGTCTATTCCACCCCCCATAGTGCAGACATAGAAAGGAAAATAGATGCACTACAACAAAAAGCACTACAAAATATTCTAGAAGGACTAGATACCGACGAACAAGAAGCAAGAGCCGCTGGTAAGAAGCCGAACTGCACTAGAAAAACCCTACGCCGTCGAGTTGACTTGTGAGCTACATTATATTACTTTCTTGCGATGAGGGGAATTTACTGAGGTGCTGCAGCGGTTCGATGAGAAAGGAAGAGCGGAAGACCTATACAGATGCTGTGACATGTTTGCAGAATACCAACGCAAAAACACCAGCATCCATTGCTCCAGGTGCCATAGGGAGGGTGAGTTGGGAACTCTCAATATTTTGCGTTGATACATTCATTGCGCTAATTGGTTCTAGAATTATGACTTTACTGTAACCCATATTTTGGTATGTGAGTTGAACTTCTTCTCAACCAAACCTTTCGCCAGGAGGTTAAAATTGTAAAAGCTTACAAATAAAACAGTAAACTCCCTTCGTTCACTAAAACGCTAAATTCCTCCCATGGCATCGCTACTTTATTCACATCTACGGCGAAGCCCTGCGCAACGAATGCAACTATTCCGGGCCAATTCCGTATTGGGACTGGCCCAAATACGCCAACGCAACCCAAGATTCTCTTCTATTTAATGGTGACGAATATTCTATGGGTAGCAATGGTGCGTGGGATCCGGATTTCCCTATCATAGTTTTCCCACCAGGTTCAGGATCCGACGATATTCAACGTGGAATTAGGGGTGGATGTGTTACGAACGGACCGTTCAGAGATATGGTTATCACACTTGGACCTATTACACTTCCCAATCCTGGGTCATTTGGAGGGTTGGGATATAACCCCACATGCTTGAAAAGAGACATCAACCCTGCTTTTGCTAGAAGGTGGTCAAATTGGACTTCTGTATTAGGTTTGCTTTGTCCCTGCTGAACTTAATAGTCGAAAAGCTGATAAAACGCTTAGAAACGTTTCAATGGCAAGATATTGGAACTTTCCAAGATTTCCTCCAAGGTGTTGGGACAAGGGCTGGAGGTGTACATGGTGGAGGGTAAGTTTGTAACCTGGGAAGCTGGTTCTGAATTGCTTCGCTTTAGCTAACCTTGTAGCCACTTTACCATCAGCGGCGATCCGGGTGGAGATCTCTAGTGAGTCTCAAAACAGATGAAGCAAAGGCAACGTGAGCTAAAAGTTTAATCAATAGTGTCAGCACAGGGGACCCAGCATTCTACTTACACCATGCTCAAATGGATCGCCTATGGACTATATGGTACGTTTTGATATCTGTTTCAAATAGACTAGCAAAAGACTTGACCCCGCTGATTCAACTCATAGGCAAGGCCTTGATCCCAAAAATCGGCAATACAAGATCAACGGAACAACTACCATGAACAATGATCCACCTTCAAATGTCACGCAGCTTGGAGATTTCATAGATGTAGGGTTCGCAGGTGGGAAAAATGTTACTATTCATGACATATTAAGCACCGTTCGAGGTCCCTTTTGTTATGTGTATGTTTGATGGGAAAGGAATAGTTTGATTCTAATAGAATTGAGGTTGCATATATTTCTGAAACAACAATCACGACATGCCACGAATCCTTTTTGATCTCCTCAAAGGGAGTGCGCCCTCTTTCTTTCTCTTTTTCCCTATAAAATTATTAGCATTCTTTTGAACCCTTCAATCAAGGTGCCACCAACCTTGATTTTGATGACTCTTTCCTTTCTCTGCCAAACTCGGTCTTTCAAGAAAGTCCTCGTAATCTCGCAAAGCCTTTTCTGAAAAAGAATGTTGCTCGCCAAATGTGCTTTTATAACCCCCATATGCACACGCTGATACAACTCAGATGCTTCATCATGCTTTTCTTCTCTTTCTCGGATTTTGGCAACCGCTGGCACACACTCCAATGTGTGTTTGTGAGTTGGACCCCAGACTCTCTCATTCAAAGCTAACGTTCTACATGTAGTGTATCTCCTTCAGCATTTGCCATTTGTGTCAGACATTTAGCAAGATTATAAATGGCAACCAATGTATCTGGATGTTCTCTCCCATAAACATTCTCTTTCAAAATTCTTATCTTTTGAAACATCCTTGCCGCATCTTCGTACCTTCGTAGGATTCGAAGTACCACAGCGAGATTTCGCATACTTACCATAGTGATATCATGATGTTCCCCCAGCAGGTTTCCACTCGAAGTCAGATTTTCCTTGCACATGGTTTCCAAAATAGCCATGTTCCCACCTTATCGGATCCGAAGATCAATGAAATCATTGGGAACTTCAAATGTTTTAGGATGTTCCTTTCCAAAGGTCTTTTTACTAAGTCCTAACGCATTCTGTAGGAATTCCTCCGATTCCGTGAGTTTGTTTTGGCCTATGAGACATGTACCAAGTGGTTGTGGATGATCTTCTCCCAAAACCTTCGTTCTTAATATTAATAACTCTCTACACGATCTTTCTGCTTCGGTTGGCGTAAGTCTTGTGAGCCACGGGAAAGAATCTCCAGCCCAAGGGAAAGGAACTTATTTCATGTAAAATAGTATTACCTTGTTAATTGGAATAGAGGATATCTTGCCAGTCCCTTCGCAAAAGTAGGCAGAAACAAGGGTTTTATGCAGATAGTGGCACTTTTAGATCCACGTATGATCCTAGGGTTGTACGCCACTTTTATGCTGTTCAACCCTAACTTGAGGGCCAAATGATTGAAGGATGGAGCTGAAAGTACCCTGTTACGCCATACAATAGTAGAAATACAAAAACAAACTACTAAAATGCACAAAACTGCACAAAAAAGTCTACCTGATTGTACATAAAACTTTCTTGCTACTTTTGCGAAGGGATTGTAAGTATAAGTTTGTTTTCGGAGGGAAAAGAACCTTATCTACACGAAAAGTTACTGTTTTACAAGATCATTTGCCCCGCTCTTTTAGGCGGTTAATTGTAGTTCTAAGCCTCTGGTTAGTTGTAATTATAAGATATTAATATGCTAAAAAATCAGGACCTTTTCTTATGAAAACAATTATCTTATCTGAAAATGTACTCTTATATTCATGTTGATGCGATTTTCCATATGAATACCCCGTGAAAGTGAAATAGGTTGGTTTTCTTATAGCATCACATACATATCAAGGTGGTGCGACTGCGGAAAGTATATGAGAAACATCTGTCATCCCTCACTAGATGGTATAGACTATTCAAAATGTATCATAATGTGGCTTAAAAATAATTTATATGGACAATAAATAAGTTAAAAGTATTTCAGCATGCAGGTGGTGCAGGTGGCCCGGGGGCTTGGATGTTCAAGAAAACACGCCGACAAGATGAGACAAGCCTTGAATATTATATAACATACCAGTAAGTATCCAAATCTCATTCCGTTGAAGGATCACTACGGAATTTATAATTATTAACGAATGAGTTTCTGTATTTTACAGTTGCATTGGAGTCTGCTAAGCCTGTGCAAAATTGACGCGTTTCTTCCCGAGACATTAGAGGATTGATTATTAAGCGACAGACTTGGCGCCCAGACACCTTCCCCTTTTCGCTGCGAGGGCCATTCAAAGGGCATCTATCGAGAAATTTCGTTCGCCTCTTTCTACAATTGGAAGGACTGTATTCTATGTCAAATCATCCTATCACGGTTGTGGCGTCGTCATCATGACTAGGCAACGATTCACCCAAGTTGGGGCACGGAAACCACGAGTCGTCAATGCCATGATGAACCCCTCCACCACAAACGAGAGCCGTTTCCTTGACACTCATCTCAACGATATCAATTCTTCATCAAATTACCCCAATCCATATTGTACACGGATATCGGCAACCTGGGAAATACTTAAAGATGAAATCCAAGAACCCCGCTCTATGCGACCACCTACCCGCCACTTACGAGGATGGTATATATCAAGATGAATCGGATAATTCCCGGGGCGTTCCAGTAGCATCAAGCAGTAGGCCAAACCAAAGTCAGTACGCCTACGATGACCTGCCGCCGTCATATGAGGAGACTCCTCTGTTGACCGGACCTCGATATCAATCGGGGCCAAAATCACAATTGCAATCAGAACCTCGAATGCGAAGGAGATGGTATACGTCAGTACCAACAATCATACAGTTCCTCATTATACAATTTCTAACCTCCCTGTGACAGGCCACCTCCCGATTTACCCTTTTCTAGCCCCAGCAGAAATCCAACAAATGTTCAAACATACTTCCCCGATTACTCGACCGACGCTGAAACTCTGCGACAAATGATATACGATCAAGCCTCATACACGCCAACCTACTATATGGAGCTGAAGGGAACGCATACGGAAACTACATACCGTCGCCAATCAAATGGATTTACGATTGGGAATAACGGGGGCCGAGGTCATAACCATAATGAAGATAACAATACCGAATCACAAAGCTCAACTACCATTACGGACTTCTTTATTCGTATCAATATGACCGATCTTCTCAGCGCAGGCGCAAATGTCGGTGGCGAGTTACATCTTCTCGCAGATAATCAAAAAGGCTTCCGGGGAGGTATTACAAAACGTCTCCAGCCAAGTGTCGCCTCCCCAGATATTGATAACCAACACGAGGAGTTGAAAGCGTGGTGCGACAAGTATGTTACGGACCCCTCGTTGAAATCATTTACAATGAAGCGGGAAGTCAGTAATCATGATACCAAAAAGCTGGAAGCCCTCCTTCGTTCTGCTGTTGCATCCACGAACTATCGAGGCCATGTCTCCGTCTCTTTCCCAATTACCCACCAGGCCGTGATTGTGTACAGCCCGGGTTGGGTCAATAAGTTACGCATGAGGTGGTGGATACGATGGTTTTTTTATCTTACATTTCTTTGGATTTTCAGTTGGCTGTACCTTTTTCTCGCCACATCTAGATACGAGGTTGTCAAGGTTGTTTTTCCTTACGCCGATGTATCTCCTGAAGACGCATCCTACGGTTCAGAGCGAACGCCCACAGTGATGAGTGAGACTGAGTGGTTTCACCTGTGGGAGATGTCCATTAAGCGGGGCGTTTTTGCGAGGTTGAACTGCCAAGCTTCTGAAATGGACGACGAGTACCGACTCACAACGGATCGACTGCTCGAGTCAAACCATATCATTGGGCAGGAAAATCCCTTTCATAATCTATCTGGTGGGGGTTACGGGTCAAGGCACATAGGGTTCGGGGCATTTGGGTTCAGCATTCAGTTTCCCGGGCAGTGGCAACAGCGGGAAGGTTGGGGATACGATTGCTAAAGTACTTTTCCTGTCGTTATTCATTCGAACAAGAAGTAAAATCTATCTATATAAACTGCCATGATATCACGAATCTATTTTTCATATCTTGAATCGTTCCTTTCCTTTGCATCTATTCAGCATGGCATGCCCTGTTCTCATGCGCTTGTGCCAACCAAAACCTTGGAGCACTTGTGCTCTAATGATAGCATGCTGCAGTGTTCTTTGGCTTGCTGGTGCTTATCCAGCTCTTTTTAAAAAGCGAGGCTGGCCACATCTCCAGTTAATAGTCAGCGCATCTTTCCATATGCGCTATCATTTAATGCCATTTATCATCCTTCTCCTACTTACAAGTCGTCTATCCACCTGGTCTTTCTTTAGAACGAGCGGGAGAATCAATGACTTATAGGTATGATGTGAAAAGGCGTACAGTATGATAGTATGGCTGTCATGGATTCTCATGGTAAAGTGCATGGTGTGCAAACTTTGAAGAGTCGTAGACTCTTCTTTATTTGCTTTTGCACCTCTTAATCATACTCAGGGAGCGACCTCTTAGTTTATCCTTGAGTCTCGTTTCAATACTTGTTGATGAGTTATAGAAGCACATACAGAGAGAGAAGTAGATAGATGACATCAAATAGGGAAATTAGACTTGGGCTGCAGAAGCTTGATCAGAATAAGGAGGCCAAATCAAGCCCAGAATACCGCAGTCAATGAGATACTGCCCTATTATATTACATTTCTACATTCCTCGTCAACAATCAAAGGATAAAGAAGATCCCTGATGCAGCAACGACCAACAATAGCAATCCCAAACTGCTGCCTCGAAGTTGACCGATTGCCCCACCTGTGAACGCAACTGGAGTATTCGATGTCCCAGCATTCGATGGACCGCTGGGTCCAGCATTTCCACCATTTTGGGTAGCATTAGTAGCAATTCTCATTGGTACCTCAGCAGCAGGCCTCGTATTGTTCGACCCTCCACACATTCTCATACCAACCAGACATTGCTTGACGAGTACCTGGTCTACAAAACTTCCATTCGAGCCTTTTGGTGTCATGCTCAACTCATAGGATGTCGGAGAAAACCCTCCCGCTGACCAGCCAGTGTACGCAAGTAAATATCCGAATTGTCATTAATGAATTTAATCGTGGTGCTGAAACTCTTTAAACACTGCATCCTAGTTAGCAAGAGTTTTCCATTCCCAAGCACAGTTGTTTCCAACTCACAGACGTAGCATTCCCCCCACCCGTCTCACTCAAGATAACCTGTCTCCCATTCGCCTTAAGAAACTTCGCCAACGGCTCAAAGGTATCAGCGACATGATCAGATACACATTCTACATGCGTCCCACTGCCATCAACATCAAGATACTTATGCACATCAAAGATAAGACTAGTGTTACTCCCATCCAAATTATGCTACGTGCTCAAGTTCCCTGCAGAGCCATTACTAACAAAGGTTTGCGCACCGGAGAAGTCGTTTCCGGGTATTAGAATCATTTGGGTGGTTGCTCCTGCTTTGCGGATCGCTGTTACGGCTGCTTGGACTGTTGTTGTCCAGATATTTAGGTCGGGGATGTCGTGGGGTTCGTTCATGATGCCGAAGATTATATTTTCTTGGGTTGCGTACTAGGGAATGGTTATTTGATAATTAAGAATGAGGGAGGATAATTTGGTACCTTTGTGGCGATTTGGGACCAGAGGTTTGCGAATGCTTCGTTGCTTGGGCCTCCCTGGCCTATTATCTTGTTGTTGAAGCGGGCGTAGTTGTGGATGTCGATGATGCATTTTGCTCCGGTTCCAAGACATGCTTGAACCAGTTGATCTACAGGTGCTTTTAGTCAGTATACCTCAACAATGATTTATTCGATCATAAGTCGAAACATAAAACAATTTAGGAGGCTTTTGAGATTAAGACAGAAACAGAGAAGATATTGAGCACAGAAAACTCAGGTACTAACCATATTGTGCAAAGCTCTTTAGATCCAGTGTTCCCGTCGAGTTTGTCATGACCTGGGAATTACTATTGCCTGCCGAAGGAGGCTCGGTGCTATTAATCAAAAATTGCCGTGATGTAGCTAGAAAAAGCAGTGAGAAAGTATGTATTTCACGTCGAGAAGATAGCTTACGCAACCGAAATGTATTCAACCCGTCATCTTTGACGAAATGTTGCATTTGTCCCTCTCCATCCACGCCACTGATTGACTTCAATGGTGCCAGCGCATTTTTCAAATTGGCGGGACCCTGTGGTCGTCAGAGATCGAGATACGATTCTAGTTCATTTCATCAAACCCACAGTGATTTCTGCACCGAAATCAAAACCCGCAATATTGACGCCCTAAGACTGTGAGCAAGAACTCAATTTGGGGCAAAAGAGGTCCAACGAACTGCTAAAGAAGATGTCGCCCCCACTGACACAATGCTACAAAGAAACGTAAGAAAAAGCATCGCCAGCGATTTATTTAGTCAAAATTAATTGGTAAGTATACAAAAAGAGCGTGCTGGAAGGACATGATCTGCCAAGATCATTTGATGCTTCGGCAGTTGGGATGATATATCACGACGAAGAATGACTATACTCGGAGATTGTAAGGAGAGCTATGGCACTGAGCCTATCCTTACAAGACGATTGACGTATGGCTAAGTTTAATTGCACGAGATATACAATGCATTGCAAGATCCATCGGCAATGCATTTTTGGCAGCCCAGTTGTAACCGGTATTTGACATGTTCAACTTCGGTATGCACCCGCCCTATGCACATCCCTTGGAACCGCAAGTGATCAATCCGTCTGTTGATGCATGGTTTCCTCGTATACCAATTGTTGCTTGAAGATAAGATGCCTGAAACTGTTCGTGCTTTGAAGTAAGATCTCGGACCTTTCGCTTACCGTGGGTTTCGTTTATCGGAAGATCCCCCACAAACCACTCCCGAGCTAGGACCAAAAGTTGGCTGTAGAGCACTGCCTTCATATTACGGACTTTTTCCTGCATTTTACATCTGCATTTTAAGTTGAAAGATCCTGGCATTTTACAATGAAAACTTTTGATAGAGGCTCAATTATGTTCCACCTCAAAGATTACCTTTTGCACCATAGCCTTATTGAATATCTCATATCCCTCCGCAGCTTGACTATTTTGAGAACCTCAAGTCAGATCATTATCCATGAAGGGTGGAAAGAAATGGCCTACCTCATCGGCATGATTTTATCTGTCATGAAGCTGCATAGAATTAGTATTGTCGGGTAATAAGCGAGATCAACAGGGAGACTCACTCCAAAAGATGCTGGTTCTTCTTCAATACCTCCAGTGCTTGCAGGAAAATGCCTGGAAACATCAGCCACAGGGACGATGTGAAGTGAAATTCAGCTTACTTCTCACAGGGCATCTCCCCATTTGTACTCTCAAATTCTTGCCGTAAGCCTCAATACCAGACCACGGAATCTCCCCGTTGTGAACCCCAAAACTAGAGATGACTCCCCAAGGCCTTAAAAGATCAAAGCCAGTTCTCAGAGCATCAGCGTGACCAACGCCCTCAATCACAGTATCTGCACCTCTACCGTTCGTCAATTCCTTTACTCTTGCTACTAGCTCTATCAAGCATTAGCGAATCGTACTTCGAAGATACAGTGCCTTGTATGTACCGGTTTTGCTAGTTTGGTCGTTGAAAACCTCAGCGCCAAGTTTCTTCGCCAGTGCCAATCTGCTTTCGACTCTGTCAATGGCAATTATGACTCTCGGGTGGTATTCAAGGGCGTTGATGAGTGCACACAATCCTACGGGCCCGCACCCGAGTAAAACTACCACACTTTGACTTATTGTTTCCTGGTCGAATCCTTTGAAAGCATTTGCCGCAGCAAAATAACCCGTCGGGAATATGTCTGCCATCAATACCAACTTCTTTTCATCGATCCCATCTGGAGCTTTGACAGCTGTGGCATCGGCCAGGGGAACCCGCTAATCCTCATTTCAATCAACGTCGTAAGATGCTAATTGGAATATGCTTACCATATATTCTGCTTGGCCACCATCTAGGATCGGACAACCGAAGAGAAGGGATTTTTCACATCTCGATGAGTATCCTTGAAGACAGTAGAAGCACTCGCCACAAGAAACTGTGAATGGCATCACAACAGTATCTCCCTTCTTATGATTCTTAACCGACGATCCTAGTTCCACGACTTCTCCTATAGTCTCGTGACCCTGTAGGGTGTTAAAACTACATGCAAACCAGCATGGCCAGAAAGAATTCGACATACCATTATAAAGTCTGGTTTACTCTGCTGATGGCCTCGAAAAACATGAAGTTCGCTTTGCGCGCAAATCAGGTGATGTAAACCATGTCTGGGTGTCGGTGCGTCTTACCTCCCACATAATGCGGAGTACTTCACCTTGACGATAATATCGGCTGGATCAATTATCTTTGGAATTGGCCGATCCTCGACCTGGACATTCAGCGTCCCCTTCAACACAACGGCTTTCATGGTATCCTTGGTCATTTTGGGCTGGGTGAAGTAAGACAGCAAGGTGAAATTGATGCTGATGATATAAAAGACTATATTAAGGTGATAGTTTATTCGCCAGAACTCTGAAGGAGAACTAGCTTATATAGTGGCTGGTATGACATAAGCTGGTCACATGACCATTTGCATCATCTCGAAGAAAGTCAAAAAATCGCCGACATTTCCTCCCAAGATGGAGAGCAAAAGTCTATTCTGAATGGACTTTTGAAATCGGCACAATACTGCTGCAGCGGAACGAGGTGTGGTGAATTGGAGCGGGGTAACCCATGCGGTACTCCGCAGTATGATCAAGGGTGGGATCTGGATGTCGTGTGCTGTGAAAGATAAAAAAGTAATTGGTCCATAACCATTGCATCTGAATGCCAAGAGGACATGCAATGGGTACTCTCGTCCAACATTTGTACGGTAACTAATCTGGAACTGCCCCTGGGTAGAGTAAAGTGAGTCTTGCATACAGTAGGTACGTCATAAGATCTGCTTGTTTGTGGATGTGTTACTACAAGACGTCAATCACTTCCGCTTTATCTTAACAGAAGTGATTTCTGGTGTTTGAGGCCATTCAAAAACAGCAGACGCGAACGAACGACCTTAGTCTTCGCCGTAGAATCGATTCGACTATGGCAGCGATTCAGAATGCGATAGCGGCAGGCGCGGTTCCTAGCCATGTATCTAATGTCTGCCCGGAAGGCACCAAAGTTTATTTGCTTGAGGTCGGTTGGCTGGAAAGCGATGAGGCTTGGGTAGTAACTGGCGGGAATGGCTCTCTGAAAAGTACCGAGGGGGAAGTGTTTGCTAATAAGAGACGAGAGCTTCCGATGTATTGCGTTTTAATTGACCACCCATTAGAGGGTCTAATACTATGGGAAACAGGATGCGGCATGAACTATCCGGAGACACCTGGTGGAATGGATATTTTTGTTCGAGTGCGATATGAGCCAAAACATGACTTGACCGCAGCAATTGCAGCCACCGGAAACAAGATAGAGGATGTCAAAAAGATGCAAGTTCTCATGACACTTTTGCGTAACCTGGCTGATTATTTGCAAGTATCCTTGGCCATATGCATTTGGACCATGCTGGTAAGTCGACTCCAATCAATCTTAAAGCCTGTGACCCGTACTGACGCGAGTCTAGGAGGACTTGATCGATTTATTGGACGGAAAGATGTCGAAATCTGGGTCCACGATGTCGAACTTCGATCGGCCTTTTGGTCTGTTGCAACTGGAGCAGATGAAGGCGTTTACTTGAAGGACTATTTGGATGTAAGCTGCCGTTATTTTTCGGGATGAGTAATGCTAACAAGAGATCGTAGCTGTCTTTAAACTGGAAGACGTTTGATGAGAGGACAATTGACTTTTGTCAAGGGATCGTGAGCGTCGTGGAAGCATTCAGTTCCTTTATATGCTAATCTGAGTTGTAGACTTTGCACCATCTTCCAGGCCACACGGAAGGGCTTGTAGGAATGCAGCTGAATCTGCTGAATTCTGGGACATTCTTCTTCATTTCAGACCATTGTCATGTGATCGAAAACGTAAATAAAAAATTCCGAAATCTTAGAAGTAAGCTTACACGAACGGCAGTGGCGAGATGGAATTCCCCAGGGATGGCTCGCACGGTAGGTTTCTACCTCAAATGTTATTTTTGGTACTAACTGAGTTCATGTAGAAATCATCCCGCATGGTTTCAATCTACACAACGTTTGAAGCGATTGCAATCAACCACAAAGGGCCGCGTAATTCCGGTGAGTACCTAAACCCAGAGATAGATTAGCTGCTACAAGGTTCTAATCAGGGACTGTAATATAGGGACATGACAAAGAGACCTTTCTACAACTACAAAGTGAAATAAAAGAATATCTGAGTTGAGGGATTACAGATAAACCTAGATATAAGGATATTCGTAGGGGCAAATTGCGTAAGGATATAAACGAGGTTATCCTTATATCCAGTATCCTTATATCCAGGTTTATCTGTACAATGGGAATCAAGGACTATCTTGAAGGCAATGTGGTGGACAGAGAGCGAGTAGAAAGCGGGATCAGGGATACAGTACACAAATCCCTTGTGGGAGGGAGAGTAAAGAGATAGGTAGAATTTAATGAAAGCAGAAAGCAAACAACCTTGAAACAAAAACGTAATTGAACCAAAAATATTGAAGTGAAGTATAAAACCACAACGCGAATGAGTACAGATTATTGCGGTATGTGAGTGAAAATTAGAGTGGGGGCATTTTTGTGCATAGGAATTCTTCTGTAACAGTTTCGTCTATCAATTTGATCATTGTTCGAGTGACGGGAAAACCATCGTAACAACCTAGATGTCCAAGGGAATTATTCGATAACTTACTGCTAAAAAAAGGTCGCTGTGTAGTCAATTCACGATACTCCTCCAAAACATTTCAGCCAGCATTTGGACAAATTGTATCCCTGTTCCTGCACTTTCTGTTGTTGGGTACAAGGGTTTATAATAGGTTCCGTAGTGTGGCACAGTGGATCAGATCGATAGGCTAGTCCGACATGGAAGTCTATAATGCAGATATCATTAGATAGCTTTGTGACGGGATTTGGGGGAACCAATAGATGTGAAGAGGGAGGGTGTCGGTATGGTGATATTGAACATATCACAATTTAAGGCTCATTGTAACACAATCTGATATTTTAGGTAAGAGGTCTTGCTGCCTCACTTCAGGCGAAACGGCAGGAGGGACTGCTAGCGTGCGTTTGAAAAAAATCCGATTTTGGAACTGTCCAAAACGGCGCACGGGGTAAAAACGTCTAGCCGCTTATCGATAGGTCATACAGGGTCCTACCGAGGATTCGCTAATCCTCCACGTGACTTTACCCCCCCCTTTCATATTCTTCAACCAACTATATCAAGCTCATCCTATAATATCCAGGGGAATCTGATCAAACCTGTGGCATTATTCCCATGTTTTGCCCACCTGCGTTGACCGCGTCGGGTCGGACCATCTTCTGGCTGTGCCGCTTTTGGTGGGGCCTGTGGCTTAAATCAGCACGGCTTTACTTCCCCGCATCATCGACGCTCTTTCTCTCCTGCCTCCTACAGTATTGTTACGCAAGAATCATACAACATTGTTGTACTCGGGGCTGTCGCATAATACCAATCTAGTATGTGCGATCAAGCTATGCCCAGCCCATCAAATTTTCCTCTATCCTTTTCAGGCGATGTTCTCGTCAAAAAGAAGCTTTTGCAGCTTTTGCACAGGAAGACCAATCAAGCCTCCCGTTCATCTTTTCAGCTTCTATCCTTGGCGGATCTAGAAGACATGCGATTGACGAATCAAGCAGGATGAAGCTTGCACGCCTTCAAAATGCCAAGCGATATGGGACACACACTTTGTAGGCCAGGTCCGACGAGGTACTGGTTGCTTTATCGTGCGAGTAACTCCGTACCTTCGGCGTGGGCAGTGGGAGATATTCCTGCAAAGTTCTCAAAGATTTGCGCCGGAAAGTTTCGAGTCGAAGAGACTTCAGTATCTCACACAGCGTGATCCTTGGGACTGGCTGCCCTACGTCTTCCTAAGTTAGCGCTAGTGCCCTCGGAATTACATGCGGAATTACATACGGGCAAAATGCACCAGGTTCCGTAGACAAGTTATGCTATTAAAGCACTTTCGAGCACCTCTAAAGGGCAGTTGAAGAACACAATTCATGTTGCTCGCTGCAGCCAAGAACAGCACGTGTGGTTTCCCTTGGTGTCAACTCCTTGTCATCCATTCATCCCGCTTTCGTCACACCGACTAGTGCTTGTGAACTCAAGCTCCTCCCTGGTAGAAAGCAAGCAGGATTCGGTACCTGCAGGAGCTCCCTGAATCTTATAAGAAGAGCGTAGTACCTTGATGTCTTTTTGTCTTGCAATCGAGTAGTTGCCTTATTCGTGCTAGTTGATCATCATGGTCGCCAATACAGCATTGCTCACGGCGGTGTCAGTGTTGAGCTTGACAGCTGCCCAGACATTTCAACGGTTAGGTGGTTGTCCAAGTAAGCAAAGAAGATCCACAATTGGCCGAACTAGCACTGATTAACATTCTGTAGCTCTTGGTTGTGTACTTCCTCCCGATCAAACCGATTTCTTGGCCGGACAGTATTTTGACATACGTCTTGAGGTATGCCGGCCGGCCTCATTGACAACAGGAAAAACAATTAACTGAAGATTCAGGTTCACGCACCCGTCAATGGCTCTGAAGCAAATGGGGGAGTTCCGGATACGAACTTTGTATTCACTATTGCTAAAAAGGACGGAGGACCTCAACCAGCTGCAACCTTCTTTAAGGTTGCGGAACCAGCTCTAGAGACTTGGAATTTTACTTGGTTCGAGGACCTGTTTGCCCAGGAGTTGAAACAACCTTCTCTTGTCCAGGTCGCCTCCAAGGCATACCGACGTGTTGCTCTTTACGAGCCCGGAGAGTATGCTGCGACTTTGACATACTACAATGGAACCAACACCACTGCTAATTGGTTGGTGCGACCAATCCAGCAGCAAAAGAAGGCAAAGAATGTCATTTTATTTATTGGTAAGATGCTGTCCCACACTTTTGACTTGACGCTCTTCTAACCAGGTTCTAGGTGATGGTATGACCACCAACATGATCACGGCAGCGAGATTGATTGGTCACAAAAGTATCAACGGGAAGTATCAGTCTCGCATGCAGATGGACAAGTTCCCAGTTTTGGGGCATCAAATGGTAAGTCTTACTACGTATACGTCCCTATCGACATCATTCCCCTCATGTGGCTCTGGATCCCTCCAGCCTGCGTATTGGTGTCAAAGTTCCATGAAACTAACTGCTTTCAGACACATTCTCTTGATAGCTACATGACAGATTCAGCGAATAGTGCCTCGGCTTTGTACTCTGGGCATAAGTCAACTGTGAATGCCATGGGCGTCTACGCCGATTCAAGCGCTGATGCTTTCGACGATCCTAAAGTGGAGACGATCGTTGAGCTTCTTACAAGAATTTGGGGGTGTGCAATCGGAGTCGTGTCGACGGCCTTTTTGGCTGATGCCACTCCAATTGCTTTGACCGGTCATACAAGAACGCGCGCAGCTTACGCGCCGCTGATTGATCAATCGCTCCGTGGAGTTCAAAACTATACCTGGACCAATTACACCGGGGCTGACGTTTTCTTTGGGGCTGGAGCAGAACAATTTTACCCAGGGACCACTTCATATCAAGGAAAAGATTACTACCAGGAATATGCCAACGCAGGTTACAGCGTCTCGCTGAACAAAACTTCACTTTTATCTGTCCCAAACACGCAGAAAGCACTCGGTGTATTCAGCACCAGCTCGCTTCCTGTCTGGCTAGATCGAAATGTTTACAAGAATTACCTAAACACCACTACCAATCACCCATCTGGCAACAAAGAGCCCGCTCTCGATTTGCCAGGATTGAAAGAGATGACTTTGAAAGCGATTGATATCCTTCACGAGCGGGGAGGTGAAAAGGGCTTCTTTATGATGTCTGAGGCTGCATCTATTGATAAGCAAATGCATGCTCTGGATTATGATAGAGCTCTCGGGGATTTGCTGGAACTGGATGATACTGTCAAAGCAACTATTGAAAAGCTTACGCAAATGGGTCTAATCAACGATACCTTGATAATCGTGACTGCTGATCACGGGTTAGTGTGTCCATTCTTGATTCAATCCTGCGTTTACTAATTTTGTTTAACTTTTAGACACGGGTTTGATGTTTATGGTTCAGCCGATACAAAATATCTGGCCTCCAAATCTAGCGATCGAGAGAAGCGCAATGCCATAGGCATTTACCAGAACTCTGGGCTGAGCCAATACACTGTGCCCAACGCAAGCGTTTCCTACGACACAGGCGTCAATTTCCCCGTCAACTGGGACCCACGATATACTCTTGCCCAAGGAGTTGGCGCTATGCCGGATCATCGAGAGAATTATCGCGTCCACAAGGACGCTCCTCGCCTAGCTGCCACTAACATCACTGGCAAGCCAATCGACGATTTTTACGCGAACCCCAAAGACAATCCAGATGGCATCCTTGTCAACGGAACGCTCCCAACCCATGAAGCCCAAGGTGTTCACTCTCTGACCGATGTTCCTGTGTTCGCTATGGGGCCTTGTCAGGAGCTTTTTGCTGGTGTTTACGGGAACATCGATGTCTTCTTCAATATGGCAAATTGTTTAGGACTTGGTCGGCCAGACGATAAGCCCGGTGTGCTTGGTGCTTCAGGCTCAGGAAGTGGTCCCGTTGCAACGAGTGCTAGTGCTGATCCAGTGACGCGAACTCAGAGGGGAATGTGGTTTGGAATGCTAGTCTTCATGAGATCAATTGGTTGGGTGGCGTTGAATTTGTGATCATGGTAATGGTTAATAAATAGGCTAATGCTTTTAATGAAAATGTACAGGAAAGACTCGCTAAAGTATAATAGTACAAGGTTCCCAGCCATAAGGATATCCTCGTTTATATCCTTGGGATTTTGGTCGGTCATGAATTTTATTAGTAGGGTTTTAGTAAATTTAAAAATATAATTTACCTTATATAAGAATATTCTTGGGCCTTTTAGTTCCTATAATACTTTAATACTAGAACAATCCTCTGTTTTTGTTCTTAGTACTATCTAATTCTACGGTAATTAACTAAACTACCCCCTACTTAATAGAAAAGTCCTTAAATACCCCTTACGTTATTTAGTATTAACAGTACTATTCCCTAAGCTATATACCCCTTAAAAAGTAGGGTAGTTCTATTAGTATATTTTAAGTAAAAACTAGAACTTATAATTTTATAGCTAGTTCTTGTTCTATATAACTAGCTTATAAAGGGGGTAAGTGTTACGGAGTTGGAGGAACTAGGGGTTGATCACGTGTAGCGCAGCATGTAGTATGTGTCACGTGCGCGCTGCTGGCATCCTGTATTTAAGCTCTCGTTCCTCTGGAACTCTCTTCCTTCCTCACTTTGTTGTTCGCTCAATACAGCAGTTTCCGTTTGACTCCGTATTCATCACAGCAAGCAGTGGTTCACTCCACACGGTTACATTACAACAAAGTCACCTCTTCGCCTGGGAAGGCCTGTTATAATATCCCACTTTGTTTATTTGTTTTTGGCTGACGA